AAATTTTTGTTGAGATCAAAATTTAGTCTATTACGCAAATGGTCAATTGTTATCCCGTTATTTCGCTTGCGTCATCTGTAATATATTCAGCATACGTGATACCACGGTCAACGTCAGCAGGATATACATTGCGTTTTACAAGTGGAAATTATATAGGAGACTATATAATTAGTATGTGAAATATTGGCAATGACGTACAAAAATCATGAAGCATATGTCACACAGTATTCAGTATTTATTTATCCTTGAAAAAGACACTTAAGATTACTGTAATTCTTGTATTTGTTGTTGTATCTTCTTGCTCTGAAACACAGAGCGGCATCGCGATCACATTCGCACAGCGCTTTCCCACATCTGCTGTTTCTGCTGTCTAGAAATATAAAATGTACAAAAATAAAATTTAGTGCTCTTTACGGGATGTTGTTTTTCAGGGGAGGAAAAATATTGGGTGAGGGGGGGGGGGAATAATTTTCCACGCTTGAATTTCAAAATTCTTGTCGGCGGGGGGAGGGGGGGGGACCTGCCACGTACGTTTATATTGGAAACACACGAAACAAGTCTGTCGAGTCAATCAATTTAAGGGGAGGCAAATTGAGGGGGGGGGGCAAAATTCGCACGACGGAAAACAAAAAGGAAAAAATCGTGCAAAGAGGAAAGACCAGGAAAGCAAAGACAAAATACATTTAAAATTCAGCAAAAATATTCCCTCTCCCACATTACTTTTCCCATGGTTCGCCCCTAAGTATATAACTCCTGTTGTATTCAATTGCCATGTTCACTCGTTTTAAAGTAATTCCGTTTTATTTATTCAGCTGGACTTAATAAAAATGATTCTTTAAAGAACGAAACAGTTTCTCAACTGATCCTATAGTTCAGTGAAGATCAACTTACCACACTTAAGAGGAGAGGAAGTTTTGTAAGACAAGAAATAAACTTGCAAGCCCTGGCATATTCTTCCGCGCTTCAAATGAGTATAGCAACTGTCGTGCGTCTGACAACACCTACACTGAACAAAATGAAATTTAGTTTGGGTTGGATCATTGGGTGCATGGGCTAAAAACATCATGAGAAAATCATCTTATACAATACGTACATTTACTCCACCGAGCTTTTTGTTTTTATCCTAAATGCATGTATGGTAACTCGCATCATGTTTGATGCAAAAAATATTTTGTAAAAATAATTCAGATTTGAGCTGGCCTGACGAGTGACGGTAATCGTTGAGAAATGGCGACAAAAGAGCTGAAGCGTACGTAATTGTCGTGATATAGGAGAAATTAAGATAAGAAAAAAGAATTTGCGATGGTTTGGAGACGTTACCAGAGAAGACGAAGATGCAGTCAGGCTAGCATTAAGACACCAAGAATGAACAGTTAAGAGATATAGGTTGGAAGCTTAAGGATACTGTGAAAAGAGACTTGAACCGGAGTATTCAACCTAAAAGTAGAGGGTCAAGTTAGCATGAAGACATCTATTTGGTGTCTAATATTTGGTGTCGTATTATAGAGATGTCGGTATTAGAGAGATGTCTGTATTAGAGAGATGTCTGTATTAGAGAGATGTCCTTATTAGAGAGATGTCCTTATTAGAGAGATGTCTGTATTAGAGAGATGTCCATCATTAGAGAGATGTCCATATTAGAGAGATGTCCTTATTAGAAAGATGTCTGTATTAGAGAGATGTCCATCTTAGAGAGATGTCCGTATTAGAGAGATGTCCGTATTAGAAAGGTGTCCGTATTAGAGAGGTGTTCGCATTAGAGAGGTGCCTGTATTAGAGAGATGTCCGTATTAGAGAGATGTCTGTGTTAGAAAGGTGTCTGTATTAGGACAGAGTACTCATGTTGCCAAACATGGCCAACCCCACTTCAATGGTTGTGTGCCCCAACTGGGTGAAGCATCACTTTTGTAAAATATACTGAACATAATGAATCGAAAATTTTACTAATCAATAAAAAGTGACTGAATATATCACATCAGACTGAAGATAAAATATATGAACAATTAAAAAATCACGTGCCTATCAAGATTATCCACAGGTGTACCAAAACCGCCCACCCCACAATAACAACCATAACCATTGTAATCCAAAGGATTCCTCCCAGTGGCTGCAGCTATCATCTTGGCAAACTCCACTAAGTTTCTCCGGTATCGTCGAGCATCTGAAAAAACAAGAACGTTTTTTTCTCACCTTTCATTCTATTTCAATTTTAAAAGTACATTGGCGATGCAGAGCGTACCTTATCTCTTCCCACCCAACATAGAAAAGTGTTGGCCCTTTTTTCCCTCCAATTACAGCTCGAACGGGCAAACCGAGGCCTCTTTTGCATATTTTTGATGTTTTCAAACTAACCAAAACCAATCACCACCGGGTTATTTTGACTGTTTAAAATAACTTATGAATAACCGAACCAACAGCGAACAGCAAAGCTGCGCAAAACGGTTATATGATGTCGTCATGTTTCTTCCACGAATATATTTCTCCCTGATTTTGACACCAATCACCCCCC